ACGACGACGACGAGAGGAGTAGTGTGTAGTGGAGAGATGAAGTCCACACATCTTAAAGTTGCCAAGGTTGAGAAACACTGATATAAACAAATGCCCAAATTGTTTCTAGGGGTACTTTAAGAATAGTTACAATTGTTCAGAATGCTGTCTGAAAGAGTATTTCATTGATAGCAGCCTGGAGGGTGACTAGGTGACACTAGGTTTGGGAAGTCTAGTATAGATTTTATTTTTAAATAAACGATTACTGTTTATTTAAACTTACCTAAAGTTTTATTGTTTAAATAAATTGATTGACTGACAGACAGACTTTTTGATGTGTATTCTAATATTCATGTTTTTGGTGTATGTATTTTTGCCTACAGTTTGATTCAGCTGGATTGAGATGTTAATCTCCTTTTGATAAAAAGTAAAATGCTTTTCATTGCCATTTTGTATAACTTGTGCTTGTAATATCAGCTGAGTTGGTCTGGTTTGAAGAAGTTGCATAATTTACTATGCAGCAGCTACATTACGTTATTTTAATTTTGACATGAAGTAGAATATAAGATCTTTCACCCAGTAGGTATTAGGACATATAGTTGTTTGTTTTAGAAATTTAAAGAGTGAGTAAAAAACAAAATGGAAGCAGTTGCATGGCAGTATCCAGGACTAGTTTCCCCAACAAAAAATGTTTAAACTCCTTCAGGTGGCAGCCTCCATTCCTCACAAAACTTCTCATGATTGGGTGGATTAAATGATAAGCCGTAAGGCAATAATAGTCCATCCATCCAAAGCAGATGTGTTTTGAATTTTAGAATGGCAATGGGACCCCATTCTTTACGCATACCATGGCTACTGTTATAAACAGTGTTTATTATGTTTATTTCAAAGCAACCTGAAAGTGTTATTTTGTGTTTGTGTTAATATTTCAACACTAATGAGTCTATTTTCTCCTGAAAGTTAAGATGACTAATGTATTTTATTAAAACATTTTTGTCCATATCATGGCATATATGATGTATAATAAAGAACGCATTAATATGATTGTGACAAAATGCTGAAAACCAAGACAATGCCTTGCCTCTCTTTTGATGTGTCTGATGTAAATTTTGAGCAATTTTCAGAATCAAAGTAAAATATTTTTAAACTATATAGTGTTTGCAATACATGGAAAAGTACTTGACTATTCTAATCTCATTTTTTTCTCCTTAATCTCTTTCAGTCCCAGCAAAAATGCATTGTGATTTTTGCACTGGTTTGCTGCTTTGCAATTCTGGTTGCACTGATATTTTCAGCTGTGGATATTGTGGGGGAAGATGAATATGGACTCTCAGAAAAAAACTGTCAAAATAACTGTCGGTAAGAGGTAACAAACAAAGCTTCTTTTTTGGGGGTAAATGGCTACTGTGATGCAAAAGATATAGAGAAAGTTTAAAATTATCTTTAGAGGTACAAAAACAAGGTGAATTGTAATCCATTTGTAAGGGCAATGTGAATGTTTAAATGTTTAAATAATCCCTAATTTGACAATATCAGCCATTTGATCCTGAAGCTCAATAAAGAACATTTTTAAATGTGGGTCTACATTGATCAGATGGCATGGTCATCTTACAAATCCTTCTTTCTCACATTAACATAAACAAATATCCAAATCACAAAAATAAATTTGAATATAATTTATGGCTCATATTTAAAAATGCGATTTACCTGCAATTATGATTCCTTAGTCAATTGTGCTTTCAAATATATTTTTCTGGCCTTTTCAGAGCATTATTCAGAACGTTTCTAGCAAAGCTTATAGGTGAAAAAGTGGAGCTCCGTCACCCCATTTTGCATGCTATTGTTGATACTTCTATCGTTCTTATTTTCTTGAACCAATGCAAGCCATGTCTATTTTGGAATGAAAAAGGTGCCAAAGTAAGATAAAATGTGCTTGGAATGAGAGTGTGAATGCACAGCTGACGAAAAACCACAAACATTTTTTTCTTCTTGGTGCTTGTGCTTTACACAAATGGAAAAATGACAGGTTATACTTGCAGGAGATGGAACATACTATTAATTAAAGATGGAATACAGGACAGTGTACCTTGCCTTCTCCAAAACCGTGCTTCTAGCTCAGCCTCTCTTGGATACAGTACTGTGTTTTTTGGTTCTTGACTTCTGGACTGGCTTTGGAAAACTCTCTGGAATTAGCATCTCTGTATAATTTATTTATAAACTCTTGACACTGGCCCTATGATTAGTATCTCTCTTGCTTTCAGTATCTTTGTGAAAGAGAACAAATTGCAATATTGGTTGCAGTGTATGTTGTATTCAAATATAAACAGATAGATGTGCGGAGCCCACAGTGTTGGAGTAGAGACTGGGTGACATTGCAATGCAATCATGCAATGATGCAATGCAGTGTAGACCCCCTGTCAGGCTTGACTCAAGTGGTAAACAGTGGTGTTGTTAGTGCTGGCAGAGTGGAAAGCCATGAGATTAATGCTTCTGCAAATGTGCCATTGCCCAAGTTGATGGCAAAGAAGGTAGAATACAAGAATGAATTCATCCTTGTCTGTGGAGGTAATGACCATTGTAAAATTGTCCATTAATATCTAAATGAATGGTTAGTGAGAATTAATTTGAAGGCTTTGAGAGAAACACTCCAAGACTGCTAGAAGCTGTAGAGCATTTATAAGCTAAGCTCTCTCCATTTTGTTTCAGAGACTCTAGGTATAACACCTGTTGCAATGCTCTCTCAACCCTATAGAGGAATCCACTGGGAGAATCCTGGAGGAACTGCATGTGCAAAAACAAATTCAAATAAGATTACCAACCTAACTTAGTACAGAAGTTGAGCCTGCCATCCTAGTAATGAGTTGGTAGTTGGAAACAGATATAAGGAGTGGAGAGTCCCTGTGTGAAGGCGAGCATTGTTCACTACTGTTGGTATTGCCACAATGTGACTAAGAAGATTCTGAATATCAACTGCTGAAGTGATGTATTTTTTTCATCAAAACAATCCATATACCTTATTTTTCCGACAATAAGACGCCCCCATGTACAAGACGACCCCCACTTTTCCAACCCAAAA